TTATATTATTCGTTTTTGTCCTGAATTATTGGCTATATAAACTTGCCTGATTTATGCAAGCACCGACAAGGAGTCCACCATTGCTGCCACCTTCAATACACAGCTTGCTCGGTTGTGTATAACCAGCGGACACGAGATACTCTGCCCCAGAGATAAAGTCATCGAAACAGTTCTGCTTTTTGGCAAGTGAACCTGCTTTGTGCCATTCCTCACCATACTCCCCACCACCCCGAATGTTTGCAAAGCAGAAAACAACACCGAGATGCTTGCTAAGCACAATACGGCTGGCACTGAAAGACGGTGTTATGCTTATGTTAAACCCACCATATGCATAGAGCAAACATGGGTGTGATCCATCAAGCTTAATATCCTTTTTCGCCACAATAAACATAGGTATCTTTGTTCCATCCTTGCTGGGATAGAAGACCTATAAAGAGGAGCAGAAACCACTTTAACATATGCAAAGTAAAAAGTAGTTATGAAAGAAACAGGAAGACGCTACAAGAGAGTGTGTTACCTGAATGGCTTGAAATGCTTCCCTGTCAAATCCGGGTACAGTAACCTCCCGGAATACCTTAACTTCTGGAGATTCATTGGCTAAGTCACACTTGTAAATCACACCAGGAGTGAGAAAGCTAGTAAAGCTAAAGAAAAAGGTATTGTCCTTGCGCCGAGCAGAAACATCAGATACTGAACCAATATCTAGAGGTAATTGGTGAAGCAGTGAACCAGATTTCAAGTCCCTAATTTGCAGAATATGCTTTACATCGCTCATGTAGCATGCGACCAGGTGATTCCCATTGACAGCACAAGCTGATGCTAAGACATCCTTTTCGTGTTCTTCAACAACATCAGTCCAGCTGTATGGTTCCTTTAGATCAACCCGGACTAATTTGTACTTAGGGGCATCTTTATTCGTCAAGAAAGTAAACAGAGTCTCATCATTTGAGATAACACTATATTGCGCGTCAAATGTGTCAACAAGCTTAATGAATGGAAGAAAACTGCTGCTTCCTCTGAAACTCTCAAGACCTCCTGACAATGAAGTCATATCGCAGTAGTATAATTTGTTGACAGGGTCACAACTCTCTCCAATGCTCATGATCAGATACTACAAGAAGAAATAACATTGATTAGACCTAAAACTAAGAATCCAAGTTCCAGATCTACAAAACTAGGTAACACAGTTTGAAGTCATGACCATCATTTAGAAAAAGGGAAACGATCAAAATGATTTTACGTAAGTATGTGCAGAAAAAATAAATTTGAGGTTTAAGAGCGTAACCATAGTTAAAGAACCAACATAAGAACTTGGTGTGTTACCTTCCCATCGTCAGTGACTTCAGCTCCGAACATATATTTGGGATTCTCATTATCTCTCCAGCATAAGATATCTTGAGATTGATCCGTCCCAATGAAATGGTAATACAGCTCATGATAAAGGTTAGAATTAGTCTCAGTGCCAGCATCAATATCCTCTCCTTCTCTGCAAAACAAAAACAGATAAAATTGGTAAATCAACTTAGCTTTCTGAACTATATCGAAAGGCTTCTTCCAACACATCTTGTACTTACTTGGGAGCTGGGTAGCGACCATAGAAAAATCCTTTACTGTCGTGCGTCCATGTAATGCCGGTAAACTTAACCTGTTCCACGAGAGGAACATAAATCTATCAGAAATCTGGACGGTAGAACTTTATTGATCAACCCCACTAGTCAGTACCATCTTTAAGACCATACCCATGATAAAGTATCAGGCTCCACTTTCTTATCCTCGATTTTCATCAGCTTAATCGTCACCCAGTCGCTACCACTTGAACTAAGACCATAGGCCAAGTACTTAGCATCCTCGCTGACAGAAAAGGTGTTTAAGGCCACTGTTCCATCATCACTAAGAGTGTTCGGATCAAGCAAAACCTCTGGCTCAGCATCCAGATTATCCTGAACCCGAATGCAATCAAATTCAATGAGAAAACAAAGCTAGAACAGAGTATGCACTGATACAAACGCCTTTATCTCAACAAATACCTGCATATAAAGCACACTTTGAGCCTGTAGACCAGTGTTATGGAAGTAAAAGTACTTATCCCCTTGCCTGAATGGTGAATCGTAACGAGGATGATCAATAAGTTTCGTTATATTCTGACGGAGCTTCTCCTTTGTTTCACACTTTTCAAGTACAGAATCTGTCAATTTCACTTGGCTCTGCACAAACTCCTTCACTTCTTCAGCATCAGGATCCTCTAACCTAGCAACAATCCAGAATGACAAATTCAACACTAAATCATAGCAAAAATGAACAAATCACACGAAATCACGAACAATTTAGGAATTTCTCTCAAGGTCAATCTCCAAGTCAAATCCAATGTCTGCTAATTCCTCAGAGCGATGTGTTCAAAATCTCATTTGGAAATATCGTTCTCATCCGGAAACCTAAAAGCATAATAAGAGAAATTGCAGCTGGAAACGAACTCTTACCAACGGTACGGATCTCCGATCTTGACGCCGTGATAGTCATCGACGACGGAATCATCACGCCGAGTCGCAGGATACTGTAATTGCTCGCCAAACACCGAAGAAGAACCCATTATCGCAGAGCTCGAACAATAACAACGACGAGAAACAGAATTGGGTCGATTGGAGAAGGTTTCGTTTAGGAGAAGAGAAGAGGAGAGAGGTGATTGGCGTAAGATATTTATACGGAGGCGGCGCGTGATTGTTGGGACGGTAACAAACGCGAAAACGTGAGAACGCGCGTGACTTGCAAACGCTGTGAGCATCGGTTTTCTCTCTACCGCTTCTTCTTCTTCCCCGAGATTGCCGTTACTATGTCAAAATGGTTTCGTCGTTCTATCAAACATTTTATGGTACCAAAATTTAATCTAAAATGTTCTTATTCAAAAATATATTTTTATCAACTAGTCTAAATTGTTATATTCTGACAGTTTGACTTGTATATTTTGAAAAGATTAGCTTTTTTTTAATTTTATCTGTTGACATGTTTGTTTGGATAATTGGATCAGAAATATGAAATATCTAAGCATGGATACTTTTCCAAAGATACATGTGATTTTTGTAGACTTTGCAAAAGCTTATATCCATTGCAAACTGTATAAATAGGTTTTCGCTTAAGAAAAAACATCTTGAACAACCCACTAATTCATACAACACCATAGTTTGCGAAAATGATGCATAGCATAAGCATATGTTGTTGATACCATATTTAAAGCCTTTTGGGCTTAGACTTTATAATATAGTTTTGAGGTTCAGACCTGCTGAATAAACGAGCCCAACATAAAGCCCAATAAACAGTTTTATCAGGATATGTGTAAACAAATTGCGACAAAGAGACTTTTCACCGTTTAGGAGGGAAACTAAAGAACATTTTTTCTTTTTCTTTCTAGAAAGTAGGTTTGGACTACTGCATTTGTTTTTTAAAAAGTCTCTATTACGCAGAGTTTGCAGAATAATAATCATACGCTACACTACAGATAAATAATTACTGGAGTTTTAGTGAATTGACCGAACATAAGAAAAAAATTACAAGATAAAAGCAACTTTGACCTACATAATAAACGAGAAAGGAAATTTGGGAGTCACGCGCATAGTTAAATCGCGTAGAAAAGTTTGGAGATTTGCCTTGAAAGGATAATTTAAATGCTACTGACACACTTCCAATGATGAGGTTACTAGGGAAAGTTTTTGTTGAATTCTTATTATTTTCTTTATTTTCTCTTTGACGTGGAGTTGTAATTTTTCAAACTTATGGTAAATGTATAAATCTACACCCTGTTTAATGAGCCCCTATAAACCATGCTATATGCACAACAAAGACGTCGAGGATTATACATATCTACCAAGTCATCGAATGTCATATCATCACGATTACATGATAAATCCGAAGCTTACTTTCTCAACATTAAAATCCTCATTTTACCTAAAGAAGAAAAAAACGTTAGAATCCAATAATCGTAACAATGCTAAGAGCTTGGCAAAAGTCGTATTGTAAACTTGTTTTGCTTTCATATTTCCACATAGAATTGCAAATCATTTTGGTACCATCTAAAACCTAATTAGTCAACAACCGATATAAATAAACACAAAAATGTGGGAATAGTCTATAAGACTATAACGTAACTATAAATGTAAGAGAAAAAAACAAAGTACCTATAATATCAAAATAAGCGCAAGGACAACAATAACTCAGCATATATATACCTCAATTGAAAATACTGAGCTTAGATCACTTACATCAAATACATCTATAGAAACATGTGAGTGTGACTATACAGAAAATGTATACATTCCGACTATAACAAAAGAAAACGTCATAATAATGCCTAAGAAAAATACTCCATTTTAAGATTGAACTCGATATTTCTCGAACCATTTATAGGATTGAACACAACTCATCAGATAATAAAGAAACAAATATACTCCTATATAAACAAACAAAAACTCACTCTTCCTATATAGTATATAGATTCAAATTAAAAAAAAAAAAAGGCAAGACATCATAATAACACTGTGTGGGCTTCACAAACATAAAAAGGAAGAGTAAATTCTCCTTTTCATTACCATATTCTCCTATGACTTCAATCTACCTGTACCTTGTAGGGAGTAATGGGTCCTCTTTCTTTATGAAATAATTTACCTTTCCTAGATGATGTAAACGTCTCAAACGCCACCACTACTCTGAAATCTCACATTTGTCAACGCCGTTGCAATTTAAAAAGATGATGAGTTCCTACAATGAATGTATCAATCGGATTAGTCTTGATCAAGATCAAAGTTTGACAGATAAATCAAAGGAGACAGCAAAATTCAAATGAATTTTACTTAATCAAGAACAAGTAACGCTCACAGTCACAGATAACAAAAAAGGTTAAAGTTTCGAGATAATACCTAGTTTTCTTCAAACTTAGATCTTAGTAGTATTCACCGAATGATATTGATCACTATCTTTATATATCAAATCATGAGGGGTTTTACAAAGAAACCCTAACAGATCTCTATTGGCAGTATGCCCACCTCCTCTTACAAAACACACCGTAGATACGTACACTTATTACACATAAATATAGAGAGAGGAGGTGGACAGAATGCCAAAGATCTCTGTAAGAGACTCTTTTGTCAAACCCGCATGATCAAAAAGGTTAAAGATCCAAAAACAAATCACTCATTTCCTTTCTGTCGAATGTAACATCGAGAGGTACACCTTAAGGAGCAAAAAGGGTTTTCTTTAAGATGGAAAAAGATAGAGAGAGAGAGAGAAGCTACAGAGAGAACATTTAGATGAGAGAAGCGAACGGTGAGAATATTTATGAGATTGAGAAAGAGGCAGATGGGTTTCTCTTAATGATGGTGATGTACAGTTGTTGTTTCTAGCAGGAATATTTATGAACCAAGACTTTAATAAAAGAATTAAACAAAAACAAAACAAAAAACGAAACCCTAGATTCTGTTGTCACAAAGCTACCGAGAAGATCGAACAACAATCGTCTCTCGAGAGGTGGGATTTTGCTGGATGGGTTTAATCAGATGAGAGGAGAGATCAAAGTTTAAGATTCGGATTTGAAAAGACATAAGATCTAACAACTATGAACAGCAAAACAGTGAAGAAAGAAGATTGGAAAAACGTGGAAGAAACAATGAAAAATAGAAACTGAAAGAGTTTTTTCTCGGGAAAACAAGTAAATAACAGGAATTAAAAGGGCAACGCAATCTTTCTTCTCTCTCGATAATTTTCTTCTTTTCCAAAGTCCCTAATGATATAAGCGAAACCCCCAATAAAATTTCTAGGGATTTTATTTGTTTTAGCAAATGTCAAAAGGAAATTCAACGGGGTTCTCTTTTACTTCTACGACCTACCGTTCGTTTTTCCTTTTTTCTCAAAAATTTTTCCGGGCCACAACTTAAACGGTACCATTTTTTAATTGATTATAGGGTTTAGTTATAACGCTATTACAATTTGTTCAGCAGGATAAAATATAGATTTGAACAACAAAATTAAAATGTCACATATCATGAATTTATATGTAGAATATAACAATAGAATCAAATAGAGAATTTTATAAGATAGACATTTTGTACATTTCCACTAAACATAGGCAAATATTATAATAAAATGTAAAAGTTATGACTTTTTGAAACTGTGTTACTGATAGAAAATTATTATTCAGAATTAACATTTGCTAAAGTCTAAATCACTCATAACATGATAACAATACGTAAAGAGGTATATTTGTTTTAAATGTATATGAGAATCATGTAAATTAACATTTCTGACTTCAGTTCGTGTGAGGCAACTTCCAATTGATGGGTCCATTTAAACTCCACCATGGAGTGGATTGCAGAATCCAAGGCTCATGTAAATAACACAAATTTTATAATGAAGAAAATGTTAAGCTTTTGACTTAGTATTTAACCATGATACACATTCAAGAATAAGGTCAATCCCAGCTTTTTATGTTTTCTTACTTTAAATGACGAGAAAATACAAATGAAATAACCTCATTTTATAATATATAATAGAATCATATTTCCCTTCTGTCGACTGATAGGTCGCACTCATCACTCCCACAACCTGCAAAGTCTCATTTATTCTTTGTGACAATTTGTTTTGACATACTCTTACCTTTTTTTTTGTGATTTGATTCAGTGGTAGTATTTACGTTTTTTTTTTTTTTTTGTGCACGTATTTACGTTTTCTTATAAAACGGAACAAACTCCAACAAAAAAATGGACTTATTATTAGTAGTGGATGAGAAAACAAATGCATGCCTTGCTTGCATTAATTGGAACAACTCATAATTCTCCCCACAATTTATTGCCTCAAAATCTACCACCCCCATCTAACTTTCTATCCATTAAATTCTTACACTTCAAAGAAAAATTAGCCTTAATTTTGTTAGCTTTCTAAAGGTAAAATGATAAGTATCCAGATTTAATTTTGTCTGATTTATTAAGGTCAATGATATATTTTTTGTACAACATTGCTTTCAAACATATATTATGCCAGAAAATGAAAACAAATGGAGTCTAGCTTATAACACACTTTTATTGAAGAAGATGTGCTAGAACAACCGGTTTCGTATTTACTGTTTTTTGGTTCTTTTGTTTTGTGTGTGCACGTACTGTTTTTTTTTTTTTCAATTGGATATTTACTGGCAAAAAATAAAGAACACGCGATTTATCTAACTTGATTTTTAGTCTAAATCCTTTTTTTTTGGTAAAGTCTAAATTTAATTTATTGTTATTGACTATGAGAATAATAATAAAACGATGGGTTTGTCGCATAGTGAAAATGTCAGTGGTATGATTGAGTCATTTAAGAAATGGCTTAAATTTTACTTTCCAGAACATCACCATGCTATCGATTTATACACATGTCTTGGTATGTTTTAAAAAGGTTATAAGAGAAGATGTATATATACACAAACATATGAGTAGATATCGGATTTTCTTTATTGACGTAATGCCAAACTATGGCGGTATTTTGCAATGCCGTCCATACATGATACACAGAATTATTGAAAAAATGTTATTCATGCCATATTATTACGATTTCAGATTTGAGGCATGAAAATGAGTACTCGACTGTAAAAATGTCAACACTTTTAATTTGGTTCGCTTTTAGAAAGGCTTTTTGATGTGCATTCTATCTTCCGGACATTTTCATTTCTTTTTAGTTAAAATATTTTTCTTTCTTTTTTATCTTTCTGAAGGTTAATTATTTCATTATAATGAATAACATGTGTTAAAAAAAAAAAAAAAAAAAAAATGAATAACATAATATCTAAAAAAATTCAAACGAGAATCACTTATAAATTGTATATATATAACTATATCTATCGCTTTTAATTTGTTTGGTGATGACATGGATTTGAATTTAGAAAAATAGTGGAGGAGCATGTTTAGATCATTCGTTTAACGCAGAGCTCGATGCATGGACAAATGCTTTTTACCCCACCCGCATGATTGCCTAAACTTGTATCGAATTCCGTTATATATAATATGGCGTAAAAACCATTTTCATATGTATTTAACAAAATGATGTACTTTCAAATGTATTTTCTCTAATTAAACTATGCAGAGGTTTCAAAAAAAGGCACCAAAAGTAAAAAAAGAAATGCAGGGATAGTTGGTAAACTATAATTGCGAGTAGCGACTTTATACAGAAAGAGGAGCAACCGTCGATATATATATACACACATAACACAACACATCTTTGCTTTGTTAGTGTCGTATCAGTAATTTTCAGAAATAATCATTCCTCCCCCTATAACTTTTGTTTTTAGTTATATGTTCTTCGTGATATATATACTACAATATATTTTTAACTAGAACTCTATATTTGTCAATGCGGTTATATTTGTTATGGAAAATGTACCATTAAATTCACAGTTTCACACCTACATCGTCCATAAAAGACGAACCGAACGCATCAATGAAGACGACTCAAACGCCCTACAAATATCGGACTTTACTTGCATTAGAATAGTAAATTGAAGTAATAATTTTTTTTTATATATAAAAAAATTGTACTAAAATATTGAAATACAAAAAAATACGGTATTTTTAGAAAACAATAAAGAAGACAAATTTATCTTGACTATATAACTGTAGAAATTTTTGCAAGATTTGTTTTTTGGAATATATAGGCTAAGTCAAGACAAAACAAAAACGCAATGTGATACTGTTGACAAAAAAAAGAAAGTAACAATGTGCTACGTTCCATCTTCTTCTTTTTTTGGATTTGGAATTTTGAAACAAGAATGGGACGTTAAATTAGTAAGATCTGTAATTATTATAGTGTGGCTTAAAATCTCAACACTGGTAAATTGTGAAAAAAGAGTCAGCGGAGACAGAGTTAACCCCAGAAAATCCTAATCACAGTTTTGTTCAAGTTTTTTCCATTCGCTTTTTCCTTTTTTTTTTTTTTTTTTTTTTTAATCTTATGCAATATTGCATGCGGGACATTCTCTCTCCCTCAAGCTCATCATCACCTCCATTTTCTCCTGATTAATAATTGTATTAATTTCTTATGAGATCATTATTAATTTTCTTTATATTTGGAGTTTTGGACATTTATGTTCTATATAGTCTATTACGTACGGTCTGCACTTATATTCTCCGTGGGTTTGTTTTGAAAGCTACAACAAGAAGTTGTGAAAACTGAATATGTACCAGTTTCCGATATCCAATTAGCAATGCATCTTGTAGCGCCATGACCATTAAAAAATTCAGAAGACTACAATAGTATAATTTTAAAAGTGGAAAGATCTAGGAGACCTTCTATGAACAGAAGATCTTTTTAGCACAGCATGTTCACGTGAAGCCAGAAGGTGTTCATGATTGATTCGATTTTGTTTCTTTATGCAGTTCCCAACAAAATTTATATAAGGATTAAAACAGCATTAAAAGACTGTGTTAGTTAAAAAAGGGTATTGGGCTTTTGTTGTTGAGTTTTCAAAACAAGAATCATGTAGTCTTATGACCATATAATATACACAAAACACATCATCTACTTTATAAAGATCTCTCTGCTCGTCTAGTCCTACTCTAGTGGCCACCAATAATACCTCACGTATTTTTTAATTTCCTCATGTATCCTTTAGGACGAATATATGGTTTTTGAGTCTTTTGACCAAGGAATAATAGCTTAACTTGAGTTTCATAGACCAACAAACCCTAGCAAGTCCATTATCATCTGCTTTGTACAAACCATTTTAAAATCCTATATGGTTTTATCTTGTAACCTGAATACTTAACTTTTGAAACACAGCACAAGTCAACTTACTTCTCATGGAAAAGCACAAAACCCTTTTTTCCTATAGTCTCCATTACTCTTTCTCACTAGTCATCCACTTTTTTTTTATGATATGTTAACAAAACATTCACACGAAAGATGCAAATTTTACATTCATAAATATAACTTATAAAATCTTACGTCATGAAGACGTAAGGGCATGACATTATAGTAAAACCCGGTACAGAAAATGAATTACATATATTTTTCTTTGGACTCAAAGCTAGATAGACACAAAAGAATTACTTGTGCCAGACGGCATAGCGATGGCCACTTGTTGCTAGAGTCCAGTCTCTACCAGAAGGGCACCA